TAACACAATGGAGAAAATGTTTTAAAATCCCAGCATAGGAGGAGTTAAAAGGCTATAAGATGCTAATGGAAGGAAGCATATCAGAGAATACAGCCTGGACAAAATATGATTTTAGGTAGGCCTTGGAGGCCATCTAAGAATTGAGATATAGGGCAGCATAAGCAAAAGCCAAGAGAAAGAAATCTCAAGAAGAGAAAAAGAACAATGAGTATTTTAGTTTGGCTGGACTGTAGAATTCTTCAAGAAAAATAGTAGGAAAGCAGCTGGAAGAATAAGTTGGGGCCAGATAAAGGCAAACCCTGAATATTAGGCTAAGAGCTAAGGCCTTTATTCTATGGAGAATGAGGAATGGCTTAAAGAGAAATATTTTTTCTGAGCCATGTTTCAAAAGACCTGAACCATCAAAGCTATAATTTTCATAGAATCAATAGCTAATATGTAAACAATTATATCTACAAGGTTCCTCATGATAAAGAAAAATTAAAAAGGATTAAAATAATGTTTGGAAAACAATTACACAGCATTTAGTTATATTAGAGTTTGGAAGGGGAACTAGTGTTGCAATCTCATTAAATTTTTCATTTCATAATTGAGGCCACCAAACCAAGTCATCGTCAGTTAAAAGCTTAGATGTGTTCATATGTTTATCCCACATTTCAGTACAAGTTCTATATTTTACTTCTGGATCACTTTTAGGATTTTTGTGTCTTTAAATAGATACAGGTCTTAGCTGCAAAAAGAATCTATAACCTACTAGTTTCAGGGTAAGTGGTTTCTGAGAGAAATGAAAGCAGATGGCAACTATATTTCATCTCTTCTATTTTCTTTTTTACAGTTAAAAATAATCCTTCTTTCTTTTCTGCAACCAAAAATAGTTCAAGTAGTTTCTTTGATTACATCAAACTATCTAAAGAAGTTGAACATCAAGGATGCGTTTTCCCATTATTACTAACATATAAAATTATTTTCATCGTTACTACTTCTTTGAGCATTAAAAAAACAAACAAAAACAAGCTACTTCTTTTGACAACTTCAGTCATCACAGCCTAGTGTGTGACACTGGCATTAAAAGTAAAAATGCATTTAACTATTAGCTGAAGTACACAAAGCCATATAATAAATATTTGATGTTTCAAAGGTTACTTTTAAATTAAAAAAAAAAAACTCCTGATGACGAGAGAAGCACAAAAGACACTGCAATTCATTGTTAAAGGCTGCCGTTTTCATATGCTGACACTGAGCATAGAAACATACGTATTCAAGTACTGAACTAGATTCTGGGGATTTTAAAAATGACTACATGGATCCAGACTTAATGGGGCTCATAGATTTAGTGGAGAGAAATAGAGTAGTAGAGCACATAAGTTAGAACAAAAGGTTTTAGTAGGGGAGGGATCAAAGGTATGGCTGGAAAGGTTATTTTTTGGCAAAACTGAACTTTATCTTGATAGTAACTGAGAATCATCAAAAGTTTTTAAACAAGGATGTAGGATGATAGAAATTATATTCTAGGAGGATATATCTGATGATACTGAATCAAATGTACAGCAGAGACTGGAAATGAGATTTATAAAGGGAATATTTGAAAGCCAGTACTAGCGAAGTAGTTTAGCTATAATAGTGTGGATACTGAAGACAGACTACCTGGGTTCAAATTTAGTTCTACTCTTACTAGCCTTACGACCTCATTTAAGTTCTATGTGTCTCATTTTCTTCCATTAGAGATTATTATAGTACTTTCCTCATATAGTTGAATGTCAAGAGCTTGTAACAGTCTTGGCACATAATAACTGCTCTCAATGTTAGCTATTGTTGTTGTTGTTACTATTATTGCTATTGCTGCATAGGCCATAACTGAGATCAATTTAAGCAAATTTGGTGGTAGAATACCTTCAACACCCAGAACTCATGCCCTGAATAAAGTATCCTAATATCACCTAATCTGTCACTCACAAACCCCTACCTTCCACAGTAAGAAAATCCCCCAAAAGTCCTGGACTAAGGCAAAAAGGGTATTCTAAAAAAACAAACAGAAACCTGTTGGCCCTCATTACCTGTAGTTTGCTAACGCCTAAGCCAGGCATCACAATAATGTAATAAATATTCAAGTTGATGATAAACTATAGTAGCCACAAATATGGTTAAATGCCAAATGTTATTCACTATTTGTTCATTTTCTCTGGGGACTGTTTTTCACTTATTTTTTTTAATTAATTAATTTATTTATTTATTTATTTATTTAAGAGAAAGAGAGAGAGAAGGTGTGTGTGTGAGCGGGGGGAGAAGGAGAGGGAGAGGGACAAGGAGACTCTGCACTGAGCTCAAGCCCCACGTGAGGCTCCATCTCATGACCCTGAGATCATCCCCTGAGCCGAAACCAAGTCAGATGCTTAACCAAATGAGCTACCCTACCTGTTTTTCACTTTAATTGGCACAGGTTCATAACAAAACTATTAAGCTGTCTTTTCAGAAATACAAATTTTTGAGAAAAAAATTTCCTCACCTAATAATTCTAAGATTAAGCCATGGAAGATCAGGCTATGGGACCCTCTGGAATTGAAAAACTGGCTTCTGAACGGTTCTTTATCAAAAAGTTCTGAGAATGTTGGACTACAGCACTCTCTCAACACACAATGGATATTGCAACTCTTTTCCAAATACTTACAAAATGTAATCTTTAGTATAAATAATATTAGAGCCATGTGATCATTCCCATTAAAAAATCAAAAATATTTTTCTAACTTCTCTATAAAAAATATACACATTCTGGTCCTGAAGTATGGCTATAAATTCTCAAATAATTTGCAATAAAATTAAGCAGAAAAATTGAGATTTGTGGGCCTAAATAAAACTTAATTTTTATGTATAATGAAAATTTAATACATATAAAGCAAGGATATAATTACAGTCCCACTTAGATGCAACATTCTTGAAGCAATATTTCAGAATAACAATCTAGAGGCAATCTCTCCTCTGATCTCTCATAGCATGGGGTTTACATCACACACTGCTTTGTATTTCAGTAATCTGTATGCATGTCTTCTTTTATATCTGATTATTAACTCTTTCAGGGAAGAGACTCTGACTAATTCACCTTTGGATCTACTACAGAATGTAGTATGCTGCTACAGTTAGTAAGCAGTTAATATTTGTTTAATAATAAAATCTATTAAAATTTACATTCAAAAATGAATTCTGTGCTTACCATCAGAACATAGGACTTTTACCCACACCTTTTTAATTCATTAAATTGTATTTTCTAAACTCTTATGAAGGTTTTAAAATGCTTAAGATAACTTTTAGCATTTTAAAAATATTTAAATCGAAATATTACTTTTCTAAAAATTTGTATGATTTTTCTAAATGACACTATTTGTTCTGCAAAGAAATTGTATGTCACCCTTAACTTTAGCATCATATTGAAAGTTCAGATCCTAACCCCCTACATTTGAAGGTGTCATTAATACTCTGAATCTATCATATGTAATGTCTGAAAATTTAAACCTTGAACTATTATAAGATTATAGGGCAGTCCTTTCATACTTCTAGCCCTAATAATACTTCTAAAGACAAGTTTGATTAATTCTTCCCTATTACCACCCTCTTCCTCAAATATTTTAATTTATGCTCTTGATTTCTGTCACCTGCCCAGCAAAACCTACCCTCTGGAAAAGGTCTGAAACTAATTTACACTGAAGAGGCAAAAGACTGATAACAGCTCCATGTGAAAGCCTGGTGTGGGAGGGAGCCCTGTGCCTGGCTTCTGTGCCAGGTATGCTAATGTAACCTCCCCAAGTCTCTGTTTCCACATGTATAAAATTAAAGTAGTTAGAATTAATGATACCTAAAATCCATTCCAGCCCAGATTATCACCCTTAGGAATGTTTGTAGCCTTATGCAACATTCATTCAGTTTATGAAGCATCTGAGATAGGTAATCAAATACTGTAATTTCAATACTTATTCATTAAACAAACGTTGATTGAACACTTACTCTGTGTCAGACACTGTACTGGGTGCTTGCAATATCAGTGTTTGCAGAGATCTACTAGGTGATATAGAAGAACTGAGGAAAAGACAACTAAGGAAGTAGAGATCAAAGAAGCAATGCTTAAGCTCTTTCCAATACAGCAAACATTTCCCAAGTTTGGGCAGGAGTACTAAACCCTTCTTATGTAAGGGTATTGGTGTGTACAAAGGCAGCAATGTAAAAGGCACGTCGAGTGTTTTCGGCAGCTGAAGGCTGGGTTACATGGGACAAACGTTCACAGTACTTATCCCAGTTAGAATCTGGCACGCTTTGTGTGATGATTTGATTAACGCGTGTCCCTCGCTAGGCCACAAGTCCCTTAACTGCGGAACAGCGTGTGCCTTTGCCCACTATTGTTTTCCCAGAGTCTAACACACTGTCTCATGCTTAATAAATGTTGAAGAATTAATTTTAAAAAAAAGAGGGTCCTCCCGTGTCATGTCCAAACATCCTGAAGAGTGAACTGTCCACCAAAAAGTCGCGGTGCCTTCTGCAGCCAACCTGAGCTCCTGGGAAAGTCAACTCCTGGAGTGGGGCTCTGCCTGCGCACCGACACCCGCCCGAAACCCCCTCAGGGTCACAAATAACCGTCGAGTCACCAAGCCCTGAGGGCACAGAGCTGGAGATGGGCTAACAGCCGCCCCGAGGCCCGGCCAGGGTTCTCGAGGCCAGCGGCGCCGTCCAGGCCTCAGGTTATGGTGCCCAGAAATGTAGAATTTGGACGTTGCGGAGTCCAGACAGATGGGCAGAGAGGATATATAACAACTGCAGTGACTGGAGAGCTCCTATAGATCTACACTCCGCTCCCGGTCGGAAACACCCGTTACAGTCGCAGGGCAGCTCACTGGACAACCCCGGGGCCTCTCGTAGACGTAGAGCTAGAGCTCCCTCTACTGGCCCTGGCGACTTCGCCTCGCGATTCCCCCAGCCACGCCCAGACTCGCGAGAGTAAGAACGGAGGTCTCAAAGGGCTCCACGGAACGAAACTTCCTATATCTAGTGTTCCTTCACGGAAGGATTTTAATTCACCGGAATCGATTGGCGTTAAAGGGCAAAAGCGAAGAGGAAGGTGCTCTTAACGTGACAAAGCCTGTGGGACGGAGCGGGAGTCCTGGTGCACACGCCAAACGGAGAGGATCCTGGGGGCCGGAAGGAGGTGGAAACTCCTGCAGGGGAGCAATTCGCCTGCAAGCTCCCACGGAAGGAGAGCGCGTGGCTGTTTAAAGAGGCGTGTTGCTGGAGCACGTGGCTGGTTCGCGGAGGTCGGAGGTTGCAGAAAGGCTGACATCGGTGTAGAACTTGAGACCGTGAGTTATGGTGGGGAGATCCCGGCGGCGCGGAGCGGCCAAGTGGGCAGCTGTGCGAGCCAAGGCAGGTCCCGGCCCAGCGGACGAAAATGAAGACGATTTAGAAATGCCACCCTCGCCAGGGGACTCTAGCTACTACCAAGATAAGGTAGATGCTTTCCATGAGGCCCGATCCCGGGCTGCCTTGGCTAAAGGCTGGAGCGAAATGGAGAGTGAGGACGAGGAGGGTGGCGATGAGGAGGAAGAGGTTCTAGCCCTAGATATTGCTGATGAGGACGATGAAGAGGATGACGATGACGATGACGATGATGATGGTGGGAGCTCCGTGCAGAGTGAGGCCGAGGTATCTGTGGATCCCAGTTTGTCGTGGGGTCAGAGGAAAAAACTTTACTATGACACAGACTACGGTTCCAAGTCCCGAAGCCGACAAAGTCAGCAAGAAGTAGAGGAGGAGGAAAAAGAGGAGGAAGAGGAAGCGCAGCTCATTCAGCGGCGCCTCGCCCAAGCCCTGGAAGAGGATGATTTTGGGGTGACCTGGGTAGAGGCCTTTGCAAAACCAGTACCTCAAGTAGATGAGGCTGAGACCCGGGTCGTGAAGGATCTGGCGAAAGTTTCAGTGAAAGAGAAGCTGAAAATGCTGCGGAAAGAATCACCAGAACTCTTGGAACTGATAGAAGACCTGAAAGTTAAGCTGACTGAGGTGAAGGATGAGCTGGAGCCATTGCTACAGTTGGTGGAGCAAGGGATCATTCCACCCGGAAAAGGAAGCCAATACCTGAGGACCAAGTACAACCTCTATTTGAATTACTGCTCCAACATCAGCTTTTATTTGATCCTGAAAGCCAGGAGAGCCCCTGCACATGGACATCCTGTCATAGAAAGGCTTGTTACCTACCGAAATTTGATCAACAAGCTGTCAGTTGTAGATCAGAAGCTGTCTTCTGAAATTCGTCATTTACTCACACTTAAAGATGATGCTGGAAAGAAAGAACTGAATTCAGAAGCAAAATCCACCAAGGCCAAGCCAAAATCTGTTTCAGAGACTGCTGCTGCTGCCTCTGCTGTTGCAGGTATTTCTGATGATTCTGATCTTGATGAAGAAGCTGCACTGAAATACTATAAAGAAATAGAAGACAAGCAAAAGTTGAAGAGAAAGAAAGAAGAAAATAGTATTGAAGAACAGGCTCTTGAAGATCAAAATGCAAAGAGAGCCATTACCTATCAGATTGCTAAAAATAGAGGACTTACACCTAGAAGAAAGAAGATTGATCGCAATCCTAGAGTGAAACACCGGGAGAAGTTCAGAAGAGCCAAAATTCGCAGAAGAGGCCAAGTTCGTGAAGTTCGTAGAGAAGAGCAGCGTTACACTGGTGAACTCTCTGGCATTCGTGCAGGAGTTAAAAAGAGTATTAAGCTTAAATAAAGTTTTCACTTAAGATTTTTGGCAATAATTTTAGATAAATAAATTTTTATTTTTAACTCTTAAAGTGATTGTATTGATATATACCTAACCTTAAATTTTAAAAATTCTTGTCAACAGGGAAATTTGGGTTATTGCTCATTTTTTTGTTGTTCTTTAATATTATTAAAGTCATACTAGGAATTTGGGGAGCAATACAAAAGTGCTTGGTAAAAGAGATGGTGTTGAAAAAAGTTCTCCAATATTCTGTCAAGTAGTAGCCTAGGAAAGTTTCACAGCTGGCTGTGGAGCAACTGTCAAACTTAGAACACTTTTATAATGTTTTTATGAAGAGAATGCACCTTTGGAATTGTCTTATTTGTAAGATAGCCTATAAAATAGTTCTGACATATTATTTTCATTTACCTAAGTAGTTCTTGAGCAGGATACTTGTAATTAATAGGTTTAATGTTAACTTAAAGATTTTATACATGCTGTGTGGTAAAAGCTTAGTAATGAAGAGGAACTTTGGTTAAAAGTAGAAAAAGATATGCTTTAATTACATTAGTTGTGAACATTGTCTAATAGTCCTTAATGTGGTAAATACTGTAAAAATTCCATTTTCAGTACTCTACCGGTGACTTGCAGCAGTTGCTGTTTGCAACTCCATTTGCTGAAAATTTGGTAGGATTACTATGAGGTAAGTGACAAGTTCAAGTGGTAAAAAAAAGTTACATGTTTCTTTAGTTATTCTGGTCTTTAAAGTAGGAGAGAGATGCTGAGATGGTGAACTTGAAAATATCTGGGATGATGCCAGGGAAGAAAATGACCAGACTAGTGAAGGAAAGCACAAAAGATGTTGTAACTCTGTCACTGTTCATTAGCTATTGTTCATTAAATATCTCTAGCTGCTAGAGATACAGAGATGATCAGTGGTTAATATTTATTAAACAACTGCCATGTACCAGTTGTGCATCACCTCATTTAATCTTTATAATAACTTTGTGAGGTGTGGTACTGTTCTCTGTATATCACTTATGAGGATGCTGAAATTCCAGGAGGTTAACCTTATAAAGGACACAAGCTTGGGATTTGGACCTAAACCAGCTTAACTTGAGCCTTATCTTAATCTCTGGCTTACAGCTGCTTCCTCAGTAGCACACATGTCAAATTATTTTATTTTTTTGTTTTCTTATAAAGAGGTAGGTTGGAAATAAAAAGTAACAGTAAGTGCTATGGTACTTTTGAAAGCACTTTATTTATACTTAACATCCTTACTCCTCACAACTTTGGTGCAGTAAATTCTATTAGCCATATTTTATTTTATTTTATTTTTTAAAGATTTTATTTATTTGACAGAGAGAGACACAGCAAGAGAGGGAACACAAGCAGGGGGAGTGGGAGAGGGAGAAGCAGGCTTCCCGCCGAGCAGAGCCCGATTGGGGCTTAATCCCAGGACCCTGGGATCACGACCTGAGCTGAAGGCAGATGCTTAACGACTGAGCCACCCAGGTGCCCTGTTAACCATATTTTAAACATGAGGAAACTGTGGCTCAGTTGGTTAAGCGACTGCCTTCGGCTCAGGTCATGATCCCAGAGTCCTGGGATTGAGTACTGCGTCGGGCTCCCTGCTCGGCAAGGAGCCTGCTTCTCCCTCTGACCCTCCCCCCTCTCATGTACTCTCTCTCTCTCTCTCTCTCTCTCGTTCTCTCAAATAAATAAATAAATCTTTAAAAAAAAAAGAAAAAATAACTTTCAAGGTCATGTAGCTTTTAAGTAGTAGAGTCAGGATTTCAATCCAGCCTTTCTGGCTTCCCTTTTCTGATACAGTAGGAAAAGTATAGGTTTTGCAGTTAACTTACTAGGGTGCTTTTGAGTTAATTACTTGATTTCCAACTCATCTTCTTCTTCTATATGGCACAACTATATCTACCTTGAAGAGGTGATGTAACAATGGTTAAGAGCTCTGAGATAATAGAAAATGTGTGTTTTGGCTCTGCCCCCAATTCTTGGCACAGAACTCCTAAACTGTTGTTAACTCCTAAGTGATAAGAGCACTAGGAGCATTTTTTTGATCTAACGAGGTGACAGGGTGGCCTGCTTGACTCTGGGATGGGGGCTAGTGCCCAGAAAGATCAAGCCATATTAAAAGCTTGGAATTTTCAGCCTCATCCCCCACTCAACAGAGAGGGGAGAGAGGCTGGAAATGGAATTGATGATTGATTATGCTTATGTGAGAAAGCCTTCATAAAATCCCAATAGTATGAGGTTCAGGGATCTTCCAGATGGGTGAATTCATCCACACTGACAGGGTGATGCACTCCAACTCCATGGGGACAGCATCTTCTGTGCTTGGCACCCACCCACACCTCACCCTATTCATCTCTTCATCTGACTGCTCATCTGTATACTTATATCCTTTAATAAGCTGGTAAACGTTAAATAAGTGTTTGCATGAGTTCTGTGAGCCACTCTAGCAAATTAATCGGACTCAGGGAGGGGGTCGTGAGACCCTCAGATTTACAGCTGGTCAGTCAGAAGCACAGGTAACCCGAACTATCCAGGTAGAGAATGTCAAAATTGAGTTAAATTGTATAATACCCAACCTGTGTCACAATTGGTTTGTGCGGGGGGGGGGGGCTCACATCTGGTGTGAGAAGTATTGTTGAGTTTAGTAGCATAAAGGAAACAGTTTTCCCAATTCGAGGGCAGACTAGACTACCCAGGTTCGTAACCCATTTCCATCACTTAGTCTATGACTCTGGGTACATCTCTCTGTTCCTTAGTTTTTTCATCTAAACTGGGAGTATTAGTAGCAGTACCTGCTTCATGGAGTTTTTACAAAGATTAATATTAAATTAATAATTAAAGTAAAGCACTTAGAACAATGCCTGTTACACAGTAATCACCTAGTAAGTGTTGGCTCTTACTACAGGGTTGTGACAACACATCTCGGCACACAGGTGCCCAACGAATTGTAGCTAATACAGAAACAGAGATAAAGTGTACTCATATGTAAAAATGATTGAGAAATTAATATCCTAAGTTTGAAAGAAGAGGGGAGCACTGGGTGATCACATGAAGGAATACAGAAAACCTGGCACAAGACAAAAAGCAAGGAAATGAAGTTAGAGGTTAAAAATATTGGATGTTCTATGTCAAATCCCTGCCAGATGTATAAAGTCGTGATGAGGGAAAAATGTTTTAAAGGAAGAAAAGCTTTCCATTTAGGAAAGTGGAAAAAATTATGCCTGTTAAATATTCCTCCAAATATTCCTTCAGAGACCTCACAACACAGTGTAAACAATTCAGGAATAGCTAGGATATAGATGGTGCTACCCTCATTAAAAATGTAAAAATTGGCCTTGCCTGATGTGAATTGATAGTTAATGAAGTAACAGATTGCTAGATATAATATTTACATCATCCAAATTTTGTATATACATATACATACATTTAAAGGGCACTGAGATGTGCTGGGTACCATCCTAGCGTGGGAATAAGTAACTACTCAATGTGATCTCTTACCATAGTGACTCACTTTGTGAACTCAGGAGTGTCATGGGTAACAGTTCCAATAAAATAGATTACTGGTTTCTGGCATCAATACAAAGCAACAACCTGTTAGTTTTATGTCAGCATGTTGAGCTGTGGGTAACTATTGAAAATAAAAATATTAAAAATTAAAGTACAAGAAAATACCAAATTAGTGGTCTAGTGATTTACTCTACCACTAACCAGCTGACTAGCTTTGAGTAGTCAGTTTTTCTAAGCCACAGTTTCTTACCTATATTCTTATGAAGGAATTAAATAAAATAAATGTATCCCTTTAATTTTTGTGTAGAAATAAATGTATTTGCTTATCAGACCTCTAAAACTACCTTTATGGTCAAAGCTTTTGGCACCTGGGAAATTACTTTTTATAGTCTTAAAGATACACAAAAGATTATATCTCTGAAGAATGGCTAGAATTGCTTATTCCTTGTTGTCTGAAGTAAAAGACATAAACATAACTTAAAAACATATTTTAAGTTAATATGTTATAGTAATATGTTAACATTACCAAAATAATTCAAGAAAAGTGAAGGTCAGTAAAATTTACATCTCAGGTCACAATGAGAAACATGTACCACTGTCTAAATAGTAAATGATTCCAAAAAATCATGCAGGATTCAACTAGAGTTCCAAATCATTCAAATGGAATATTACTTCAGGTAATAAATCAGAGTTTAAAAATTCTTTTAGATAGTGATTCTTTCTAACACATTTGCATTATTCCATTAAACGTTTAAGCACAGAAACAGGATAAAAAATTTAACACCACCCAAATCAACAAGTGTTAACATGTACGTTTTAAGTTTTGCTTAAAGTATATTTTCTCAGTATCAAAGTTTTTAATTTAGTTACTTCAGCTATGCAATCCAGATGTTTTCTGGATTCCTTCAGCTATACATTTTTGAAGAAGAAAAAAAGATTTTTTTAACGTTTGCTTTAAATGATAGTAAATATTAAGAATCCACATTTTTAAAACTATAAATAAAACAAAGAAAGCCCTGGAGAAAATGAATAAAATGGTCTGTCTTAAGAGAAACAATGTAGGGTAGCAATTAAGAGTTTGACCTCTAGAGCCAAACTGAGTTTAAATCCCAGTGTCTCCACTTACAGTGTGTCTTTGACCTACTTAATCTCTGTTTCAATTTCCTCACACTGAATCATGTATGATGTTATACTCATTTAAATAGTTAAACCATATAATATACATTTAGAACAGCACCCGGAAGGTAAGTGCTTAGTGTTAGTTAATATTAATCTTTTTTTTTTTTTTTACTATTAATCCATTAAAAAAAATAATTTACTCCACTTGAAAGAGTTAATTTTCTCCTTGGTTCTCTCATAGTGCTTTACAGACCAGAGTGCCTAAGGATGAGGTAGTTAAGTTTAAAAAGCAGATTTCTGTGCCTACCATCACATTCAGATTTAGCTAGCCTGGTGTTAATTTAGGGACCTGTATTTTTAACAGGCACCTCAGATGATGCTGATCCAGATAATCTATAAAATACACTTTGGGAAACACTGCTCTGGGCACACTGGTTTTAGGTTTCTCTTCGCCAATAACAGACATGAATGAAATTAATTACAAGAATGATATATGGTGTGGCATTAACATGGGACTACAAAACGTCAGTGGTAGTCCCTTGAGAATCTGTTGAAAGCAATGGACCTTCCCCCAGAACAATAACCTAGGCTTAATCACATTTATATACCACAAGTGGGTTTCTGAACTCTGAAGCCAGGCGTCCCAGGAAACCTTACACTAGAGAACTGTTCCTTTTATTTACCCTTAAGCATTGCTTTATATGGCCTATGCTAATACATGTACTAGGAGATCATTTTACGATGGGTGAGAGAGGGGATTATTCAAAATAAGTAGATGACTAAACAAAACCTGATTAGCACTCATAATTCTTTATACTTATTAAATGAGCTCTTTTAGACATACAGTTGACACTTGAATATGGGAATTAAAGATGCCAATACCCCTCTCCCCATGCAGGTGAAAATCCTGTATCATTTTTGACT